AGCGGAAGATAATATCACGTTTCTTAGGCGTGCGCACATATTCCTCTTACAATTAGAAAAAAGAATCGCGCGCGATTCCTTCCTGCGCTCGCGTCAGAACACCTGAATCTTAATTCTGTCTTCGCACACAAATGATCTTGAATTTTGTAATTAATTATTTGATCTAAATGTATCTTGTATTTAAATGTATTTATGTAATTACTATTACATATTTTGTCCTTTATCGTCGCTATACCTTCAACGCCGTCTATGTATCGACCTTGTACATATACACTTGTCGCTGAAACACTTCCCATTACATTCTCATTACAAGTACATATGAAAAAGACGTTTATGAAATTTAATACTAGTCTGTGTTTTTCTGCTCCTGATGATGTAGAGAGACTGTTTTCCTTTGCCAGATTAATACATTCGCTTACACAACGGCCTTCCATCTGATAAAATGTTTGAAATATTCTTTTTGAAAGGCAATAAGAATTACCAAAATAATAATAAATAAATACAATATTATGTGTACTGTATACTATATCACTAAATCACTTAATCACTATATAATATATACTATTATTTTATAATTATTTTTATTTTATAAAGTTTATGAGTTAAAATAAATAAATTTATCTTTCAAAGTGCTATCTTTCAACTTACTTCTGATTCCATTTTCATACAATTCTACTTTCAGACTATATACTTATTAAAGTAATTACAATAAGATCATCTACCATCTATTATTTAAAAAATAAACGCAAATTTAAAGAATAATTGTATTTAAAAGTATTTATAAATGTATTTAAATACAATTAGTATTTAAATATATGTCAAAAAATATCTTATATCTTGTATTTAAATACTTTGTTCCGAAGTATCTGCCCAACCCTGTTTAGATTATATTTGATAAGGACCAAAAACAATGGTCAAAACGTCGTGTATGTGCAGAGCATTATTATTTAACAAATCGGCAGTTTGATCAAAATAAATTGTTATTTTCTTATATCTTATTCATCATCATTTCTTCTCCTATAATTTTCAAAATAATGTTTATTCTTACTTGCGACAGCACGCGAATCCTCAGTCTCACCCACCGGGTCACGATCGCGACTGAGCTTGCGCGACACACCACTTTCGCCGACCGCTCTCGCTTTCGTTCGACTGTCGCGGGTCGACGACGTACGCGACAGGCAATCGCGGCTAAACGCGCACGCGGGTATCGACGGGACCCGGACCCTCCTCCGCGAGAGGAGCGGCAACGACGACGTCGTGTATCGCGACGCGCAAGCGTCGCGTCGGCCTTTCTGCTTCGACGAGGTGCGAACTTGAAGGGGAACGTACGTTTTCAGACAGAGCAAACAAACTCGAGAAGTGCTCGAATGGACGGACGTTAATTATCGATCTGTGCGGCGGATCAATTAGCAGCAATAATAGTAGTATGGACGAGGCATCGCGAGCTTCCCTAGAATGTACATACACAGACCAGAGGCGATTACACGACAAAAAAAAAACAGATAAATACGCACGTAGCCACTTAATGTGGTAGAGAACTGAATATTAACCTCCAAATATTGCCCTCGTTCGGCAAATGAACGTTGGTACTCTCGTATGAGCATTGTGCCACATGCCTGTACGTGTATCATTCCTTCCAATGTGGAGTAAAAAAGATAAACTCTGAACTAGTGCAGTCAGTTCAGCAATAGAAAACAGATCCATTGTATTATGTAGTGAGGCGTTTTGTTTTTGCAGATCAACACAGTCTTAAACCCATATTACACTACTGATTGGGATTGAGTTTGGATTGAAATTTAATCAGTCATAATAAAGAAAACTAATCTCAAGTTTAGTGAACTTTGCTCTGATATAAGCGTTTGCCTCATACGAGGGCAATGGACGATTAAATAAGAATTAAGCGAATAATAGAATATATAATAGATAGGACATGTTGTACAGAATATTGTTAGACTAATACTCGGCGATATAAATATAATGTTGCTACATACCGTTAAATTTTTCTTAATGTGGTATTATTAAATAGCATATTAAATAACGTTGTAAATGTTGTTTTGTGTAATGAGAGAGAGATATTGCAAAAAAGTTAAATGGCGCGCTTGTATTGTTCTAGTAAATATAAAAAAACTAATGTTAACTTAAGTCAGGTGTAGCAAATGATCACCCATGATTGTTTTAAAAATGCCCACTGTTTCTACAATATAGTGAAAGTTAGAGAATCGAAGTAATAAAATAAATGTACTTTTGTTCTCTCTCTACGATTCTCCATGCTGCGCAGCTTCATCTACCATTTAGTAGACGAAGGCTACACCCAGTAGGTAGATGTGCTATACACAGTGTAGTGTTCTAGGGTTAAGAATCTGGATGATGCCGGTTTTACATATGTAATATAATTAACCAAAGCAATTGTTTCAACTTCCTTGTAGAGTCGATTTTTAGAAAAACGTTCGCAGGTTAATTGAAAAATAACGTAAATCTGAAATTTCTCGGTATATTAATTAATTGGCACCAAATTAAACGTATATCACTATCTCAAATTTTTACATACAAAAATTATTAAATAATCGTAAAATTTCGAAAAAGATATTAATGATAATTTTTCAGTATTGTTCATACAAAACAGACTTATGTTAATTACGCAGGTTATTCCCAAATTGCGATAAAAATTACAATTATACAATTTCACATAACTCGCTCTGTATATAATAAGGCACACTATATACGTTATGACATACGTACATGACTGACACCTACAAGGTCCGCGAACTTTTCCGCTTCTGGTGACAGAAGTCGACTGGAGATGCGCACACTCTCCGACAAAATTGAGAGTGCGAAAAAGCCGAGAAACAAGAAGAGGGGATAGAAACGGTGACGCAGGGATGGGGTAAAACATTCGAGAAAATAGCAAGAACCTAAGGGGAATGGATCGAGGATAATGTCGGGATCTGCCAGCCACCTTTTAGCCGCCGGAGAGAACGGCCACCGCCCCAAAACAGAGGGTAAAGGAAAAGGGGTTGTTTTATTCCACGAGACTCTCCTCTCGTTTTCGTCTCTTCGGGAGGGGTCGGTTATCCCGAGAAATCCTGCGCATGTTACGGGGACCGGAAGGGGAATAACGTTCGCGCCGCGGGGGGTGAGATTCGTTTCATCTGTTCTGCGATAGCGAGAGTTGTGCTTTCGGCAGTTTAACGTTTCTTGTGATTTTCATCACGAAACGTTCGCTGAATAAAATTGTTGCTGTTCACCTTTTTCCTAAATGGAAGTCGCGTTTACTCAGAGTACCTTCGACAGACATGCGAAAAACGCTGAATCGCGAGAAGAGAGCCGGCGATAGGAAGGAGAAAGACACGAAAGCAGAGATCTCCGGCTACCTTCTTGCGCTGTAAGAAGCGAGATTAACCCTTGAATGGTATGACATCCGAAACAATATAATTAATAAAGATAAAAGATAATTAATAGAAAATTGAAACTCCATAAGAATAAAAAAAGATCGGAACTAAGAAGTTTTTGGAGAAACAACTTTTAGAATCGTCTGAAAGGAACTGATTTTCCTAATCAAGAGATATCTTGATGTTTTTTTTTTCTATCTACCTTGTAAGATTATTAAGAAGAACTTTTATACACAATCTGAAATCACACAAAGATAAGAATATTCCTTTCGTATCAAAAAAATGTGTTTATAAAAAAATTGATATTTATATAATATTCTTATAAAAAACGATGTTACATCTTTACATTACATTTTTCCTACATAAAAAATATATATTTGATCAATTAATCAATCATTATTATTAAGACCATAATTGAGCAAATAATATGTCTCTGTATCATTTCAGTAATGAATCGTAACTAAGAACGATTAAGATCGTTTGTGATTTATGCGACCAATCGAGGGTTGAATCTGCGCCGGGAAAGAAATCGAGGAAGCACTTACCTCGCGTGACTACACGATTCTGCGGTGGCCTTTGCCAGAAGTTGCCGGAAGTAGCGTATCCGTAGTTGTAGTAAGAAATAATTTGCGTATCCGACTAATCGAGCAAACGCAAAATCGACGAGTTTCGATATTAACGTGCGGACTGTCTCGCTCACCGTCGTATGCATTAATACAAAAAATATATCAACTTATTAAAATTTTTCATGGAACTACAAAAAAGAGACAAATTTTTTACCGTAAAAAAATACATCAAAGGAGAAAGAAAAGTTAATACTTGTTTTCTTTTAAAATATTAAGTTGACATGTAGATAAATCATAATTTTAATCGATACTTTTGCGAATTCTCGCGCAATTGGATAATTACGTAAGGAAATCCAGTGAACAAAGCGGGCAGTGAAAGGACACGATAAATATAATTTCTCACGCAATGCAGAATTAATGAATGTGGACGTCTGATCGAAAACCACGAACCTTGCAAAATTGTTATTACATATGGCGCAATCTTGCAGCGTCATGTATTCAGGAAGTCGATGCAAAACGCTAGAAATGCAAAGAAATGATCGGATCTCATTTCCATCGTAATTTCTAAATTATTCCTAGGAAAAGACAGCTGATGATTGAAAAAGACGCAGTCTGACGTAATTAAAATTTACTTTGAACTACACTGAACTTTGATACTTTGACTAGAATTAAATTCAGATCGCATAAATTACTTAAAGTACATTATAGATTTAACGGCAATTAAAAGTCTAATAAACGAATCTTTGCGAGTCACAAAAGCTGAGACTAAAGATCGAAAAGTTTCAATGTTTCATCGCTAAACTTTTTAGATAGCTTTTAAAAATGAATCGTCAAGCCTGGACCGATCTTAAAGCAATATTTATCAGGAATTAAGTCAGATCGAGATACAACTTAATTAAATTTCTCTAATGTATAATTTTGCCAAGCGATAAAATAAATATAGCCATACTCATGCAAAATACAAGCGAGGTCGAAGGTACTCCAGCTTGATAGTACAAAGAAAAAAGAACCAGCACCGAACAGGAAGAATACTAGCGGATCCTACCTTAGGATGTAATTGACGCAGACGACGGAGATCGGCTTCTGCTGTTTAGAGCAGTGGATCAGAGTGGCCTGGGTAACGACCCAGGCATAGCCGCCTTGCTTGCTGAGAAATCTGTACGCCTCGGTCTCGCACTGGCCCTTGCTGAACACTGAAACAGTACAACGATGTTGATGAGAGAACGCTCATCCTTAGACTCAGGACACGCGAACGCATCCGCGCGGCTTTATAGCGCCACCGCTTCGCGCGCGCGTTTCGGCTGACGAAAGGTACGGCATGGGATTGCAATCTTCATCCTATCGATCGGCATGGGATGCACAAATTAACGAATTGACGATGTATCGAAAGGAATAAGAACACATAGGTACATTCTAAATGTAAATGTTTGCTGCTTCAACAAAACTTAGAACTTTGGTACAAAGAAAAAGTCAGAATTTTCTGACGAAATAATTGTCGCAATATATTTTCATCGATATAATCTAGTTAACAAATACTGACTCGATGAATAAAAGTAAAAATAAAATTGATTAGCAATAAATAAGATTATTAAGAAAAATAAAATTAAAATATACGATTATATAAACAAAATCTAAGAAAATTATCAAAATTTAAGGCTCCTGGTCCCTGAGCCGAGAACTCTGCGTTGACGGTGGCGACGCCACTCTCTCCTCTCACTCTCTCCAATGGAGAATTCTGTCTTGTGACATGTTGACAACCTATTTTGTTGTGCGTGCTATTTCTTTATTATTTGCTCTGTGCTTGTGCTCTAACGTTTAACGTATTCGTGAAAGTCGTAAAATTGGCCGAAAAGTAAGATTTGCATGCGGAAGAAACGTTTTCACCTCCTTTCGATAGTCGTTAAACGGGTGTTTTTCCCGTATGTTTAGACTTCGTTTTATGGCTGTTTGTTTATTGTCGAGGGAAAAGGGTAGTTTTCGGCCAATTTTGGAAGTGTTCTGAAACGATCTATAGTGATGTTTTATTGAAATGTCTTTTTATTTGAAAATGGCATGCACAACAAAATTGGGTGTTTTCCTCGCCTCGATAGTAAGAATCCAATATGGCCGCGGTGACTACCCAGGAGCCTTAATCGAGATAGTTACACTGTATCTCGCAATCTGGCGAAATTGATGAACACGGAAATAGAGGATATCAAATATATTTTATTGCGGTTTCGGGTTCCGTCGTAAGATTACGTCGCAAATTCTGGCGCTCCGGGCTAGCCTCTTCGAGAAGCATATTATCTCGTTCGTAGAAATGTATCTCCCTACGTTCCCCTAAAACGCGACTAGGGTGGGATTAGTACAGAGCTGATTCGGCCGGAAAGCTGAGGTTGGTTGGCGTTGAAAAAAGGATCCATGACGTTGCGGATTGCTCGAACACGCGAAGCTCCTAAATCGACTAGCTAGATCGTCCCTTGCAATCGTACATCTACCAGTAACGAGTAACCGACAGATATCTCGCGAGTACTCGATAAGACGAGCGTATAAGCACTTCCGCTGTGTGTATCAAACATTTATACATCAAAAAAACTTTTACATTTCTGCTATATAAATCTTTCGATAACGAATTCGTTAATTTTTAATTTCAATATTTTTATTATTTAACATTAATTTGTCATGTATAATGTGACTTAATATTTGGATATCTTGGCTACCAAGTGTCAGATAAAGTATTACATAAAAGAGATTCCTGTTTCATATATCGGATATATATTTATTACAACGCTGCTATTTTTAGCATGTGTAACCCAATCGAGAACCCAATCGTGACGTGTTCGATACATCCATTGAGGATAACTCTCCCGGCTCATTGTAAAACACTAATCGAACGATAATAAATATCTTTCGACGTTTTTACGGCCTCGCACTTTGTCATCGCGTCTCATTTTTCATTATCTACCTGCGATTTTATGAGTCGATTACCGAAATCGGCACGATAAAGTCTGTCACGTTTGCGCTCGTAAATACCAATGGGAGACGCAGCAATTGCATAACTGGTAACCGATAACGTTACCAGCCGCGCGTTAGTCTGAGGTCCCTGGAAGCTATAAAAAAAGGTCTTCGGCGGGTAGCGCCGCCGATAAGAGACACGATCGTCCTTGAAACCTTTTTCCCTCCCGGCCGTGTCATTCACCCAGATCGACCCACTCTGTAGGCCACTTCTCGTCCTCTCTCACCCCGCGCTGCCAGTCTCTTTTACCTCTCCGATGCACGCTTTTATACTTCGCTTTTATACTTCATTTTGATGGCTATCGCGTTTCGCATCCGTGTTACTCGCGTACAGCGTAATATCTTGAAAACGATCGTCAGACAAAATAGCAATGCGACGATAGCAACCTTTACATGAATTGCCATTTAACAACCATCTAGTTTTATGCTTCGGTATATATGTGTAACTCGCGCATAATAAAATTCTTACGGTACGAAAATAACTCTCTTAAGAATTTTAGGGTCCGCTCCGGCTGGATGTCAAAGTCAGGCGAATAACGGTACTATATGAATATTATGAAGAAATGTACTATGTTGAGAAAATAAAAATTTACACGAAGAATTTAGGATTAATTAATTTTCGCAATCAATATGACAAACGATCCTAACAAATTTCATAGAAATTCCATCGAGTTTAAAGTAAAGAAACGTAATCTTTAGGCATCAAAGATACGCTGGATGTTCATGTGATTTTTAAGAAATTTTATTAAGTATTCAAATTTTTAAGTTTTACTAAATAAATGTGAAACTGATTAGAAAAAAAGAATACTTACGGCATTTGAAGCACTTATTTAGCCGCAGATTGTCGAGTATGTGATAAAAATCGAAGACTGATTGACCCATCAGTTCCTCGCTGTTCCAGCCAAAGTATTCGGCCAATCTAAGACGAGACAAGAAATATTTCCAATAATATAACGCAAAATAATATTCAATAATGCATTTCAGTTATTTTGAAAATACTACGTGTATTAATAAAAACAACGCGTTATAAGGAAATCATATTCAAATTTCGCGTACAATAAAGTATGGCACAACTTATCGAATAATGATAAGAATGATAAGGTATTCAATCATTTCGCTAATTATGCAAGTCAACGACAATTGTGCAAGAAAACAACGACTTAAACTGTATTAATGTAAAATGATGCGCAGTAAATGGAATCTAATTATTTTACGAGTTTGCATATGAAAACAATTCAGCAAGGTTTTCACATCGGAATTTCAAACGTAAAAAGGAGAGAATAATGAAAAAGCGGTTCAATCACTTACTTCTCGTCGGCATAGGTGAACTTCATACTGAGACTGTGCTTCGACAAAAAGGTATAGCGTCCTAAAGGTATCTCGATGTTACTGGGATGGGGTATAGGGCTACCCACGAGCACCAGAGAAATACCCGTGTCTTGTACCGCGTCCTCATCCTCTTTTTGTCGTTCTTCACTATCAACTTCCATGGAATTCACGTTTGAGTCGCGAATGTTTGTCAGTCTGCCAGTGCAATGAATCACCTGCCGAGCATTTCCAATCACGGGTATATTATTCACTAAATTGGTTGAGAAAGTTTTATTGGAAGAGATTCTTTGGAAGAGCATATTGTGAAAAGCATATAAGTGAAATATTGTAAAAATTTTATTATTTCGCAAACTCTGCTATTCGATGAGCATTGATTTTATTTTTTTGCGTGCGTATGATATATTTAGATCTCAACTCGTCGGCTTAGGTATATAGATACACGATCTACGCCTTGCTACGCGCACACTTCGCGCGTACACTATCATGTCTCTTGATTTCACATTTATAAAAAATATTAAGAATATAATTATTTAATTTTATTAAAGTTATGATTTCTCTCTCTCCATTTCTCTACCCTCTCTTTCTCTCTTTCAGATTTATATTTATTCAACGTTTCGTGCCACGCATACTGCAATTATTAGAATGGATAAAGGGATTTCCACATTTTAATATACCTTGTAAGAAGCACTCTTCAGATTAACCTTCCTGCCTTTGTTGGTGAGGGTGCATTTGAGCCGCAAGAAGAAGTTGCGGCCACGTTTCTCATCGGTATCCGTCGACTTCGAAGACAGGCACTCGCGCAATTCATCATGGTCACAGGGATGACTGTATTCGTATACACTTTGTCCCATCATGTCCATCTATGCAAAGCATAGAGATCTACTGTTTAGTTTTATTCCAACGAGAAACGCAGCGAAATGATCACCGTAATCATAAACTCGTAATTATCTCTTGCATTTATAAAAACGAAACTAACTAAATATTTTATGGCACTTTCTCTAATTAATTATATAAATATATGTTTTACATTTTAGTTTTCTATATAAATTTGACTGTGTACCAAAAATCAATTTCGCTACGTGTGTTGAAAAAAATTACTTTACAAAAATTACCTAAAACACATGATAATATTGTTAAAAAAATATAAGAATTATTTAAATCATTATGTATTATTTACATATTATTGCTTAATTTATTTCTCATAATTATAATAATTGTTTATAGAAGTTTGTTTGACGTACTTGTGACACTCCGAGATAATCTCTGACGTTCTCTGACAGGTAGACCATATTGCCGTCACTGGAGAGTACTAACATAAAGCCATTGAGAGCTTTTGGAAATAGTTTATCCGTCTTTGCGGACAACTCGGATTTGGCCAGCGAAACTGGAACTTAATTAAGAGAGTCGAAAATTGAGTGAGACGCTGTCGATTAAATCCCGAAATCATTTAAAGTCGCTAAATACAGTATTAAAATCTGGATTAAAATTTTGAAAATATTCACTCAGAAAAACTCTTGGTTTATCAAATCATAAATTACACAAATAGCTATGTTACTGTTAGAACCCGAATTCCGTCATTATTCGATTTAACTAGTTTAACTAGTAAGCGGGCTACACACACAGAGATATGTGTCAAGAAACAGTATCGCGATACTGTCTCGATAAGACATGTCTCAGATCACGTGTACTATACACACACTATGCGATATGTAACAGGTATCACTTATTTCTAGTACTGACTTGTGAGTGCATGATTTTTGTAAAGGATCTGTCGCGAGATTACCCTACACACTCGAAACAGCTGAGACATATTTCAGTATCATTGTTTCGGTCTCCATGCCTTGCTCCATCAAGAACAGGAGACAAGAGGCATGTATCGATACTTATTATATCGCCTTATGAAACCTTCGGAGACGTTCCTACACACGATGAGACATGTCTCATGAAACGGTATCACGATACCGTTTCTTGATACATCTCTGATACATATCTTGATACATATCTCTGTGTGTGTAGCTCGCTTAAAAGTCAAAACTAGTTTTATCAAAGGCCTTTCATCAATACTGTATTAATTGATCAATTTTAGAAATGTATTTGACAATACCGGTATTCTCTAAAAATTTTTCAGTTAATACCCGTTCTGACGAGTTAAAATCAGTTTTAACGAAGCACACTCACCGTTAAAACACGTTTTTATTTAGGTAAAACTAGTTGTAACTTTAGGTAAAACTAGTTGTAACTAGGGAAAAGTAATAATAAACTCCTGCTTTAACAAAACAGGTGGAAAAGTGGATGCAGTAGGTTTTGCCCTCCTGCGGGGGGGCTCCACCTAAAAAAACTAACATAACCCAACCCAATTGTTGTGTGAGTGGATCACACGTGTATGATCACACTTTTCCACCTACACAACAATTGGGTGGAGTTAGGTTAGTTTTTTTAGAGGTAGAGCCCCCAGGGGGGGCGGAACTCACTGCATCCATGCATACACTTTTCCACCCGCTTTGGTGGTTAACCTCTCCGGGACCGGAAGCCTAATATTAGACGCTGGAGTGGCGCCGTCTTTTTCGTAGTTCAATCCACTGACAAGGACAAAAATGTTCTAGCACTAAAACTAAAAAGGTCGTCCAAAAAAAGGGCCAGTCCTGTAGAGGTTAAAGCAGTAATAGTTGGTCCACCCACACAACATTCTTTCGTTTGTCTTGTAAGCAAATTGTTTTGTTAATCACTTTTTAATAAACAACGAGCAACGGGAAAGGTCAATGACATTGAAGGTCAAGGCCTCTCCTCTTCCTATATGTATACTCTGTACTGTCAATACACACATATCAGCAAATTACTTCCTTTTAATACTGATACAAAAAATATCAAAATTCGGAAAAGACCCTTTTCTGAATAATTACCAACATTTAACTGGCCCAACTCAGTGAGAACTTGTCTTGCCTAGTAAAAACTATTAACATATTTTAACAAATCGATTTTTCAGTCAGATCTAGTTTTCATTGACAGATTGTTATTTCTAGAATTGACCAGTTAATACTAGTATTGACGAAAGGTTTTTGATAAAACTAGTTTTGACTAGTTAAATCGGGTATTGGCGGAATTCAAATTCTAACGATAACAGCTACACATATCAACAATATAAAATAAAGGTAAATCCTTCCTATTCTATAATTCGAATAAGTTAAGTATCTATTTTTATTTATGTATTTTAAAGTGATTTATAATAAAAATCGTGTGACTTTACTTTGTATAATACTTTTCCTACAAATTTAACCGCTCCAACGCTGTTATTTAATAATATGCTTTCATTAATCCTAACTCGGCCTAAAATTATGAGAATAATGCGCCTAAACATCCCACATTTATAAATATATTTGGAGGACTGCGTTTATATAGGGTGTAACAGAGCGCCCGTATCAGGTAATTTTTTGGAGAAATATCTACACATTTGATTGAAAAATGTTCCATACAAAAGTTGCAGAGTTTCGAGTGTATGTTTCAGTTAATGTAAAAGAAACACATTGTTGCTTTTCAAAAAAGACATGTAGTTGCATATTACAAATCAACTATGAGATTTCTTTACATCAATTGATTCACTTTATTATTCTGTACATAAAAGTATTAAGGTACAGTTACCAAAAAATGAATAGTTTACTAGATATTTTACATTTCATGTCAAAATGTGCCAGGATAAAGTATAAAATATCGTAAAATTATTAATATTTTAATAACTCTACCTTAATACTGTTATGTGTAGAACAATTAGAAGAATCACTGTGTAAAAAAAATCATATAATTCTATTTAAAAAAATGGCAATGACCTATATGTGACCTTAAAAAAATCGATTTTTTCGAAAATTAATTTTACCATTATTCGTTTCCCTCGAAATCCTACAACTTTTGTATGGTACAGTTTTCAAGAAAATGAACATTTTTCCAAAAGAAAAAAAACGCCTAATGTAGGCGTTCTGTTATAAACTTTACATTTGCAACGAGTATATTTCCATATTTCTATTTGAATAGATGATGTCTTGTATCTCCAAAAAAGAAAACATCTTTGCTATATTATGATAAAGCCGGACATTCAGATACTTTCATAAATACTTACTGGAATCCACAATGGCCCGGACTTTGAGGAAAGCAATTGCCAGTCTCATTACGCTGGCCTTATCTAAAAGCGCTGCCTGTTCCGGCGCGACCGGAAGCGCGGCCGCGAGTTCGGTGAAGATATCGGTCTCCCTACTGCGTCTGCAGCGCGCTGCATCGCGGGACCTCTCTTTCCTCTTCTCATTGCTCCTGTAACAACACAAAAAGTTCCTTTCGTCTATCGGCTGCGAAATAAGCTAGTCCATACGATATTACTTCTATTGCGCAATCTGCGATCTTTACAAATGTTTTATAAATTGACATGTATTATAAACTCTGCAGAGAAATATATCAATAAACTGCAAACTATATCGAGAGAATATTTTTAACATTCTTTGCCAAAAGACGAATTTTCACGACAATAATTGACCAAAAAAATTATGGTAGAAAGTGAAAAACACCCAATGCATTTCATGTAGAAAAGTTAATGTGGTTTTGAAATGTTTGCGAGGGAAACAGGTTCTTGTAATAAATTCATCTATTTCTTTGGGCTAACCGCTTAGGCGGGATAACAACCCTCTCAAAAATCTTAACTGACAACAGGGGTGAAAAGTAGTAAATAATTTCAAGATCTTTTAATTCTCTTTACAATGATACCTACTTATAGTTTTTTTAATCTGAGTCAATAGTTTCTGAGAAAATGCGTTTCAAAGTTTCAGGGACAATAAAATACAAGTTCATTTATATGTGTGTGTGTGTGTGTGTGTGTGTGTGTGTGTGTGTG